TATTGCTTCTGCTTTTGTGGTGATGTTGGCTTTTGTTTTGTTTGTTACTTTTGGCTTTCTCTCTATCTCCAACTATTATGATTATACTAGTTTTTGGCTATGTATACATAATCTTAAGGAAGTATCCATCTGTTCCCATTTTACCAGTAGTTTTTTTTTTTTAAATCAGAAATGAGTTATTTTTATCATGTCTTTTAGGCACATATGAAAGTGATTATATATTTTTTCTCCCTTTAAACAGTAATGTGGTGAGTTATATGATTAGATTTCCAGAGTGATAAGACTAATTGCTGGAATGAATTATTCTGGGTCTTTGGTGTTTTATTCTTTTAATCTGGATTATATTTGCTAAATTTAATTTAGAATTCTTGCATCAATATTTCTAAGTGAATGTTTTCTTTTCTTAGGCCATCTTTGTTGAGTTTGGTTTCAATGTTATTCTGAATTTTAAAAAGAGAATGTGAAAGCATTTTCTTCTTTCTATTTTTTGGAATACTATAAATAGAAGTTTTAAAGATTTGGGAGATTTCAATTAAAAAACCATCTGGATGTGGCACTTTTGGAGAGGTAGCCCTTGGACTATTTTAAAAATTCTTTCTAAATTTACTGGTACGTTTACATTTCCTATTCCTTTGGGATCAATTTTAGTTATTTTTGTATTCCTAGAAATTTATCTTTCTCATCCAGATTTTCAAATTTATTTCTTGAGGGGCCAGCCCGTGGCTCACTCGGGAGAGTGCGGGGCTGATAACACCAAGGCCACGGGTTTGGATCCCATATAGGGATGGCCGGTTAAGCTCACTGGGTGAGCGTGGTGCTGACAAATTTATTTCTTGAGAGAAGTATAAGCACTCATATGTTTAATTTTCAGTAATTATATTTGTTTATAATTGTTTATAGCAGTGGAATATCAGGACTGATTCCAAATGTCTATCAATAAGAGATAGGTTAAAAAATCATAGCATATCCATTAAACAAAATATAATGTAGCCAATAAAAATTGTTAGAAAAAATTTTATTGACATAGGCAACTATTAACAATTATTTCTGAGTTACAGATTCTATGAATAACATGATCTTAATTTTGAAAAATTTTCTTTATACAAATATGCTTAGAAAAACTTTAGAAGGTTATGCATGAAAATGTTAATGGTGATAATTTCCGCTGGGGGGATCCTGGATGATTTTTATATTTTATATACTTTCTGTATTGAAGGATTTTTTTTTTTTTTTTACATATTAGACAAAGTAACAAAGTTGTTTCCATTTTGGAAAAAATAACAATTTTTATTGATTTTATTGCATAGCTAAGAAACCTCAGTGATGTGCATAGCTGAGTTAATCCTTTTGATATTTCAGTTTGCTGTTCAGCCTTTAAACATGTTTTGATAGTTAATTATCATCCTGAGAGGCGGCGTAAAGAAATTCTAAAGGTATATTTTAGTTCTCAGATTATCTTTCAATAGATCAATTGAAATGCAGAATTTAGATTAAAATGTGCTATAATGCCTATCAAAGAACCCTCTAAGGATTTATACAGGAAACCTCATATAAAACAATTAAAAATAAGTAGTCTTCTGGATTATCCAACTGAGAATATAGAAAGTTAATTTAGAGGGGCTGGCCCATGCCTCACTTGGGAGAGTGTGGTGCTGACAACACCAAGACCATGGGTTCCGTTCCCTATATAGGGATGGCTGGTTAGCTCACTTGGGAGAGCGTGGTGCTGACAACACCAAGTCAAGGGTTAAGATCCCCTTACCGGTCATCTTCTAAAAAAAAAAAAAAAAAGAAAGAAAGTTAATTTAGAGCACAGTGCTCATTACATTCCCCAAAGAACTGTTATTTAAAAGATCTTCGTATCTTTTCCCTCTCTAATAACTGCTCCACTGCCTGCAGACACCCTCCCCCACCCCTCCCATCTCCACATGGCCATGGCCTCTCCTGCTGTGCCTGCTCCTGTCTAAGCATGCATACCCTTTCTTATTTATCCTTCAGCCTTCCTTGGGGCTCCAGGATCTGGACCATGTGCCAGCCAACACCATTTTTAGCTCAGAGTTATAAAGCCACAGGAATTGGGAATTCTACTAACAACACTAGCAAACTATGAACTTGGGTGCTGCTGAGGAGCAGGGCGTTTGTGAAGGGGGAGCTGCGTTACAGACAGCAGCTTTAGTCTACAGTGGGTGCCTTCTCACAGTCACTGTGTCCTGCAGGCTCTGCTGCCTTGGCAGGGGTTCCTGCAACACGAGCCCCCCATCTGAGTGGACCTCAGAGGTGGTAGCTGGAAGTGAGGCCTGGAAGCTTCCACTGGCGGGGGCTCCTGTGGCCTCTCTTCCTATTTAGGCTGGAATGGATTGAAATGTCATTTCCAACAACTCTCTGGAAAAGACAGAATCTCTAGCTTGTGTTTCCTATTATTTTGTTGTTGTTGTCATTTTTTTTAATTTTCAGAAAAGATGCAAGTTAACAGTGACAGTTTAGAGAACTTACATTTCTGAATTTCAACCAAGCCAGGAGCAAGGTTAGGGAATCACTTAACTGTGTTACCACCAACAAATCCAGAGTCCAGGTCTGATGCTATATATGGTAGATACTGTGACTAAGAAAGTCTGGAGTCTGGGCGAGAGAGAAGACAAGAGCGCCACTAGTTGTTACATAGGGTGAGATCCTGAGTATTACGTGAGAAGAATGAGAAAAAGACTAAGAATTCAGACGGGGACCTGGGAAAAGTTACATGGAAAAGGTGGCACTTGGGCTCGTTCCTTTGAGCACCACGGAGGAATGGGTTACAGTGCTGGCGGACCAGTCGGAGGGTTCTGGGAACATCTGTCTTCCAGATATGCTCCGCTACTTTCTGGGCCTTATCGTCCTTTCAGGCTGGGGATTCTCATCATCAGTGTGTCTGCTGCTGAACAGTCCTGCAGGAATCCACTTCTACGCTTGCCCCCTCCGGCCCATTCCCCACATAGCAGCAAGAATGAAGCTCTTGAAACATAAATTAGATTATCCTCTCCTTTGGCTTAAAACTCTGCTGAAACCATTGAAATGGCCGTTGCATTTTGGATAAAATCCAAGCTCCTAACCTTGGCTTCTGAAGCCAACAGGAGTTTGGGCCTTTTGGCTTCTTTACAGGTTGTATCTTGTCACTCTCACCCAACCAGCATGACAGGCTCTTACCGGCTTCAGGGCCTTCGCACATGCTTTCCCTATATGTGAAATACTTGCCTTCCTGCTTTAGAAAAAAATTTTTTATTGTAGTAAAATATACATAATATAAGATTTACCATTTAGCAATGTATA